AAATCGTAGAATACGAAAACATTGGTGAATGCCACAAATTCTCCTAAATCACTCGTACGCACAATTTAAGAACAAATCTGTGCGTACGAACGGTTCTTACATGAGGCCCATTATTCTTGAAGGTTTAAAACCGTGCAAAGATAAAATAAATTATGCTGTTCAGGGCAGAGGAGGGAAAAAAGAACTTTCTTCGGTTCGGAGTGCTTCTAGTGACAGAAAATACAAGTCAGTTATAGGAAGAAGCCTTGAAGAGATTAACTAGAATAAAAATAACTGAAAAGTTCAAAAGAAGAGAAACTTCAAATACAGTTTGAAACTGCACATACATGCAGATATATCCAGAAGTCCTAAAAGCCACACAGAGGGGATGGAAAAGTTTTAAAAAGCCATGCTCAAAATTTCAACAAGCCACCTAGAATGCAGACACCTGGGTGAAAAAAATAGGAACTAAAAGAGTAAAAAACAAACAAATAAACAAACAAAACATCTGAATGTGCACATACAGTACTTCAAACATTAAACTGTAAAGTCAGCACTGTCTAACTTCATCAGAGTTTAACAGTGGGAATAAAAACTCAATAAGGAGGGATTAGACTTTTCAAAGACTTAGATATTTTTTGTATGTCATGACAACTACTTTTGTCTTTATGGTCTCCATGAGGATTGAGGGGATTATAATAATAGTAACATGTATAATAAACTCAATTGGATTAACTAATTCCCTCTCGTGAAAGACATAAATAAAGGATTAAATAAAGATTTGGTTTTGATTCAGAGGAAACAAAGCATCTTATAATAATTTCTAAGTAACGTAAAATTACCAGAGTTTAAATGATCTTTTAGCATTTAGTAACTTTAGACTTATTTAAAAAAATAAATGTTTGTATTTAAATATTTAGGTTTTTGCTGTCTAACTAAGTAAACTTGACAAGTTTTCACCAAAATTTACCATGAGAGACACTCAGAGAACCAATTATCATTGAAAATCCATTAAAACATGTAAGTAATTTTGCATAGTAGTTTTATTTTGTCATTTTACGTCTCGTCATTAATTTGTTCTGGCTTCCTACTTACGCACCAGCCAGGAAGCAAACCCTCCAGAGCCCGGAGTGGAGGGACATGCGCATCTCGGTGCTCTGGTTGAGGGGGAGGATGACTCCTTCCTCGAGGTAGAGCCAGTAGTCGGTGCTGACGGCTATCCCCAACAAGCCGAGGCCGCAAACAGCAAACACGCTGCTCAGCAACGTCAGCGCCTTCCTGCCACATAGGCTCATACCACAGCCTCAACAGCAGGGGTGCACTGCTGGCAAAAAGGGGAGCTAGGAGAAATGAAGAAAAAAGGAAAGTTTTCACACACAAATAAGCAGTCGTGAGGGTTGGGGGGATATGCACAGGGTTATCTTAAAAAAATGGCAATGATCATATATTAATAATTTAAATCTCCTTTACTCTGCCACTTTTTGTGTAATCAACTTTTTTTAATCCCAGTAAGACGACTTTATTTCTAAGATTCACTGCCTTGTATTATGAAAACTCACGGTAAAATTCTGAGGTTTTCAGTTTCATCGTCCCTGCTGATTATTATTTTGACAAAAACAGTTCTAAGTTAACATAAAAAATAAGGAATGACATTACAAAACAACGTGATGCAATTAGAACGTTGCACCCGTCAATGTCAAAGAAAAACCTGCACCCAACAGGGGTTGGGCCCTGCCATGCGAAAGCTCTCCAGCTTCAAAATCTCAGATGCCAATCAAACATTGGCACTCCACAAACTCTGCCAAACCAACGTCATCGCTGCAGGGGGCAAAAGAAGCAGCCCACTCCACCACCTCAACTGCAAACATGTCCCGAAACACCAAGGTTGCTCAAAACCAAACTCCCCCCACAGAGACCCAGATACACACCCAAGTTAAATATCCTCAACACACACAGGCATTCATAAAAAATAATAGTTACATACTGTGCAACCAGTATAACTGTTCAATCAGTGTAATATTATTTATGCTGTTATGTGCCAGGAGAACTGTGATCAGTAATACGTCAGGGAAACAAAGCAGCCACTGTTCAATAGGATGGTTCAGCACAGAAGAGCTACATCTTCAGGCCAGGACTCTGCAGTTTACACTCATCTACAGACCAGGACTCTGTAGTTTACACTCATCTACAGGCCAGGACTCTGCAGTTTACACTCATCTACAGACCAGGACTCTGTAGTTTACACTCATCTACAGACCAGGACTCTGTAGTTTACTCTCATCTACAGGCCAGGACTCTGTAGTTCATACTCATCTACAGGCCAGCGGTCACTTTTTCAGAGATGATTTGATTTGATTTATTTATTTATCAGGAAAAGATTATTAAAAATCAAGCCTGACTCAGCATAATTGCTGTTTTACAGCA